AGGAAGCGTTATTATGGATTATGGACTCCTATTTGAGTTAAAAACGTCTTAATGCTGGATTTGTTTCAGCTTTTGTCTTCTCCAGAAGTTAACTGATGGACTGGAGTGCTGTGGTTTTTATCAGCTGTTTGGACTCTCATTCTCATTCATAGTGTGTTCTGGATGCTTTGGTGGGAAACAGATTGAAATCAAAGATCTCATGAACATTTCAAAAATGGTGCATCAACACATTTCTTTATATCATTGATGCCAACTATTGATTCTCATATATGTCTTAACTGCATGTTATGCACCAAATCTGAATATGCACAATCATCAATTTTGTCCTTTTTCATCACCTTGAACTGTTGTTGCATGGAAAAGAGCTGTGTGAAGATTGTTTAAAATACCTTATTTTATGTTTCACTGAAGAGAGAAAGTCATGGGACGGGAAGGATGTGTAAATGATGACAGAAGTCACGAGTGACAAAAAGCAATAAATGGTTGCACACATAGCTCTTGCCTACAATTCCCTTGGCTTTGATTTATTCATAAATGTGTTTTGATCAAAGTTAAGTTTTAATAAATCTAGGATTGGACATGTGGGAAGAAAACCTCAACCTTAAAGTCGACAGCATTTAACTGAATTCCATGTGACATATACGCATTTTATGTGCTTGCATGGTATTTTCTCCCAAAAACACACACCTCTTCAGATGTTAATTGTGTAAACCGGATGAACTGAGCTTGATCCTTCAGTCAGTGTTATGAGAGATCTTTATGTCCAGATGGACTGCTGGATTGTGTTGATGTTCTGTCCTCTTGTCGCTTGCCAGGGGATAAAGAAGATCATTTATGCACATGGGAAAAAAGGTAAAACATTTTATTTGCAATTTCAAGATGACTCTGCTATTTTATGTATTTCAGACAGTAACCTAGTAGCAGAAAGAGACAATTCTAGAAGAAAAACTCTTATTATTTGTGTTTCTTCTTTACAGGAAAACAGTGCATTTAAGTTCCATCATCTGAGAAAAGAGCATCTTAAATACTGAATAGCTTTTGTACGAGGGACAAAACCCAACAAGAATTTGCTGAGGTGCTTATGTAAATTTTCTAAATCCATAGATGTAGACTTTTGCTAATATAAATCATCTAACTTATGCATGATTAAATAGTGTGAAATTTCACATCTCCAGGCCTCTTTAGGATAAATAATCATGTCATGTTGAGTTTTGAGCCAATGAAAAGTTTATTCGCCGGGAGGGACAGTTTTAAATCCTACTACTACTATACTACTATGGCGAAGAAATGGCTTATGAATATTAATGAAGGCGTGCTGATGTTGACTAGAATTCTTTCGGGAGCGCTCAGCCTAATTAATATTCATGAATCAGCCATTCACTACATAGAGTTCAGTAATTGGCCAGCTGACTAGCTCCCGCCCACAAGCGTCCGCTGTCAGCCAATCAGGTCACCCTATTGAGAAACGTCACGGTGCGTCATTGTTATTCATAAGGCATGCCTTCAGCGTAATAGGACGCGACGCCGGGAGGAGCAACGCGTGAGACTTGACGCGCGTCGCTAGAAGTTACTTAATAGAGCAACCTGTTGACAGCAGTGCGCAGAAGGACAGAAGTTTCCTTCACTGTTGGATACTAAGGATACAAGAGAAGCGCTTGCAGTGAGGATGCAAACCTAATCTAAACTGGCGTAGCCTATAATGCAGGACTGATTTTGAATTGGGAATATTGTGTTTTGTTTTTACGCATCATCATCCTCTCCAGGTACTTCTCTGATGATTGGGGAGCGCTAGTCCTCTGTGTTTGATCATCCCTGAGATGATCGATAATTCGATCCCAGATTGGCTGGAAGTAACGTGACAGTGCAGATCGCGATGAACGTGCTGCTCGCGCTGTGCGTGGCTCTCGCGGCAGCACGCGGCAGCAGAGACTGTCCCGAGCTGATGATTGACAGCTGTCACTGCACCGCGGAGAGATCAAAGCAGTTTAGCAGGCAGAGCGTGCGCGTGAAGGCTGTGTGTGATGATGCGGACCTGACGGAAACCATGCAGCCCAGCTCGATCCCCAACACGACGGTGTCACTGTGAGTAACTCTTAAGACTTGACTTTAGTGATCTTGTCCCTGTGACTGTTAAATATGTGGTTAATATTTTATTTCATGTTCTCATTATCAATGTCAGGGTATTTTAACATTTAAAGCCTAGAGAAGTCATGACAATTATTAAATTCAGTCAAATCTTCATAGAAAAGTCATGGATTAAACTCATTAAAAGTCATTAAACTCATTAAAAGTTCTACTAAGTCTCAACTTTACAATATTAAATCGACTAGAAATTGCGTTTTGTGACACTTTTTTTAATCTTCATGCAGTAAACATGACGGGAAACTGGAAAAATATTTTTATTTAAAATAAGTTTATTGTAATATTTGTATTATATTTTTATTATCTTCATGCGGAAATCATGACTGGGGAAACTGGAAAAAATATTTTTATTTAAAATAATTTTATTGTAATATTTTATTATTTTTATAATGAATTTCAGAAGTGTATATGTGTCTTTATGCAACATAGACACATAAAATAAAGTGTGAGCGCCGGCCTCTATTGCTGTCAGCCATTGATTTTATTGAAATTGATCCAAATGATGATATTTTATTGTTAGAAGTTTCATAAGTGGTTTGTGATGGATGATCATGCATTAATGAATTATGTCATGTTATTTTGCTCATCAGTATTCGGTATGTCTCCGAGCACAAATCAGAGACGGATCCCTTAGATACTGCAGATTTATTTTTACATTTCTATTTACTCATTAAGGAAAATCTTTTATCCCTAGTGAGCGAGCAGAAGTGATTAATCCAAGGAATAAAGTCATGCAAGAAACGTTACAGTACTGGAAGAGTGCAGTCTTGAAGATCATAAATAAAGTCAGAATTAAATCCAAACAGAATTTTACAGTCTGGTGTCAGAGAAACACTTATATAAGCTTGTGTCCGTTAACAGTTGTGCTTCATTTTTTATTTATTTTTTTATTTTTTTTGAACCTGTGATACTTTTTCTGGATTCTTTGATTTATAAAAAAAGTTAAAAAGAACAGCATTTATTTAAAATAGAATTCCTTTCTAACAATATAAGTCTTTACCATATATTTGTTAGCAATGTAACACATCCTCGCTGAATAAAAGTATGCTTTCTTAAAAAAAAAAAAAAAAAAAAAGTTAAAGAAAAAATGGTATCGTGCAGTATTTCACAATATTACATTTTTTTCTGTATTTTTGATCAAATAAATGCAGCTTTGATGAGCAGAAGAGACTTCTTTTAAAAAAAGCATGAAAAATCTCACTGACCCCAAACTTTTGAAAAGCAGTGTATATGTAAGTACATTGTATCTCTCCATTCAGACTTTTATTCTCAAAATTCAGACTTTTTTTTTTTCTCAGAATTGTGAGTTATAAACTCATAATTGCGAACATAAACTACAGCAAGTCCAAATTGTGAGATATAAACTTTTTTTATTGTGAGAAAAAAAATGCTATTTCCTTTTTTTATTTCCCCCCCCCCCCCTCATATTTGCTAGAAAAAAAGTCTGACTATGAGATAAAAAGAACTCCAAAACACAGATCTGAGGAACCTGTAAAGAAACACCAAGAACCTAAAGATTCCGTGGATGTTAAAGGTTCTTTATGGAACCATCAGTGCATGATCTTTAAGAAGAAGGTTCTTGGCAGAACCAAAGGTGCTGTGAATACAGCATTGAGTGTGAGGAGAGGAGTTCTGCTGATTGGGAAGCTGTCTGCTGTAACGAGGAATGAAATGCTTTGCGTCTGTAAAAACTGGAACATGTTTCTGGAGTGAAGTTTTCAGGACACTCTCAGTGCTTTTGTGTTTTTACAGCTTTTTCAGAAACGTGTCGTGTAGTTCTCAAATGCTCAAGAGCCAAAAATCGTGAAGCGATGTTCAGTCCATTCAAACATCTTTCACAGTCCACGAGGGAGAAATTACACTAGAAGTCCAAAGTTTGGACACTTCGCTGCATTTCTTTCTCATGATCGGTTTGATTTTCTCCTGAAGGTTTGTGCTTAAATGCTTGAAATGAGCTTTGTGGACAAAACTGGAGTTGTAGCAGATAGTGAAGGACTAGTGATGGTATAGTGATGGTTCGTCTCTTCTCTAGCTTCTCTAGTTGTCTAATAAACCTAGCATTGTGTGTTATAACTAATGTTGGCTCTTTGATGAATTGCCTGACTGTAAGGAAATGCACTATAAATTGCTTCTCACTAGTGTTTAAAAGCATCCCATCAGTCTCCAGAGCGAGAAGAGCTGGAGTCTAGACAAAGAAGAAGCTCAAATATTAGAGAGATTTCATTTGTGTCACATCTTTCGATCACTGCATCTTTCCCAGACCTCCATTATTGTAAATTCAGAGTTTCGTCACTGCACTATAATTCTACTCATCATAGAGTGCAGCAGGGATGATGTATTATTGTAGGCCAAAACCTGGAAATGAATTGTATTTTAACATTTCCAGCTGCATTATCTTGAAGTCAGTGGGTTTTTTGAATGGGTTTTTGTTAAATAGGGCCCTATGAAATGTTTTTTTTTTTTTTCTCAAATTCATTTTTATTTATTGATTTATCTGTTTTAATTTGACTGAATTCCGTTTTCCCCCTTTTTTATTTTTATAGACTTTCACTAATCCAGAAGCATGTCTAGTTAACTGAAATTATGAAACTTTTTTAACACAATTTAACAACAATTTATTAAAAGTTTAACCAAAAAAAAAAAAAAAAAAAAGGTTTAGGGCCCAATAAAGTACATTTCATGTTTTTCTCAAATACTGTTTTATTTATTTATTTATACCAAATTATGTGTTTTCAGTTTACATTTTTCTGGATTCTATTTCAATGGTTAAATAAAAATTTCATAATAAAAAAGCATGTCTAATTAATTGTATTAATAAAAACAACTTAATTCATTTTTTTACAATAACAGTGCCCTGTGAAATGTTTTGTTCTTTCAGAAATTCTCTGTTGTGTATGTTAATTTTTCTAGTAATCAAATGAAGACAGAACGTTAATTTAATTTCTCTTTTAATCAAATGAAAATTAAACAAATCATTTAGTTTTTCTGGAAAAGTGCTGCACAAAAGAGGTTTACTGTTAAAATTAAAACATGGAAGAATAATAGTGTGATTATTCATTAAAATCAGTATTTTAATAATTATTGTATTACAATTGATCATCCTAATTATTTATATTCTTTATAATTATTTTATTTAAAATTTAAAATGTATTTTATTCTGTCACAATTTCAAGTAAAACCGAACTTTTATTTTGTCAGGTTGCTGTGAAGTTTCGGTATATTCATGTATTCAGTGACGTAAAATACATCAGTAATATCTAGAAGAACAAGGATGTTTTATTTGTCTTGAAAAAGACAAACAAATATCTAAATGTGATTACATGTTGTTTGGACATTAAACAGATAAGCTCATCTACTAACTAGTCGCTTTCACAGCCTCAGTGTGTTTATAATCGCGCTCTTGCAAACTATTTTAACTCAAACTGTCATGCAAAATGTTTTTAAATAAAGACTGAAAGAGTTTTCGGAAGCCTAATGGTGGTGATGTTGGAGTCATGTGACTGTGCTGTAGTTCATTTATAGTCACGGTTTCTGACTTAAAATTTGACAAAAAAATAATCCATATATCTGCAAATAATCCGAAAGAAAACCCCCAGTTGGGTTTTTGTGGAGTGATGTGAACCTACAGAAATACTCCATCAGCTGCTGTCGATCTGAGCTGGGATCCGTGGCTTGTTTTGCTCGGGAAGTCTTTTTCCGGCTCTAGGAAGCGTGACATTCGTGATTCTGCGCTGACTTCCCTCATCTGACTTTTGTTTCTGAGTCGAGGATAAATAAACGAGCAGCTCACATACGCCTCCTCTTTTCTCCTCAGACGTTTGTAGAGTAGTCCCTCGTTATCATTCTGCCGTCGTTACTCCGTTAAACATCTCGAGCATCAGATGCTTCGCAGACGGAGCAGATACTCATGTTTAATTCATTTCGTTTTATTCAGTAGAAAACCTATTTTATGTGAATCGATTTAGGATGTTCTCCTCTTTATTTCGTCTTTAGAGTTGTAGGTTTTTCTGTGTTTCTAAATTGATTTCAAACGTATGCATCTTCTCTTTGCATAACTCTGCATGCATTTTTGCAAACATTAAAAACATTTACTGCAGTTTCAAGGTGAAATATAGGCTATCCACCAAAAATGAGTTTTATTTTCCAAATACATTTACATTTACATTTAATCATTTAGCAGATGCTTTTATCCAAAGTGACTTACAAATGAGGAGAACAATAGAAGCAATCAGACCAATGAGAGAGCAACAGAATACAAGTGTTGTGACAAGTCTAGCACAGTAAGGTGTTTTTTAAAATAAATTAGACCGAATAGAATAGAATAGAATAGAATAGAATAGAATAGAATACAATAGGTAAGTGCTAGTATTAATTGGTCAGGTGCTGGCAAATACTGTTCTATTCACTTATTTTTTTGATTTTTTATAATTAAGACAAACCCTAATTTTAACTCCACCTTGATGTCAAATTACACTAACAGTCAAAAGTTTGAAATCATTACTATTTTTAATTTGTTTTTTTTTGACAACAGTTCGTATGATTCAATTATTCAGAGTCAGTTCGTATTATTCAATTATTCAGAGTCAGTTCGTATGATTAAATTATTCAGAGTCAGTTCGTATTATTCAATTATTCAGAGTCAGTTCGTATGATTAAATTATTCAGAGTCAGTTCGTATGATTCAGTGATTCAGAGTCAGTTCATATGATTCAGTGAATCAGAGTCAGTTTTCATAGCCAGGAGTCTCTGAGACAAAGTTACATCTCAGATATATGAATCGAGGACTGATTTCAGTCTGATATCAGTCACACAAAAGACAAACTGATCTGTCAAGTTTGTCTTCTCTTAATATTAGAACAAAATATATCAGAAAATATTTTACACTACTGGTCAAAAGTTTGCAGTAATTATAATTTTTTTTCTTTTTTAATGTTTTTGAA